TTTACAGTCCATGCCATTTCTCTTTTGCTCGCTTCAGCATTTATCTTTATGCCATTTTATCTTTGCTCATTTGAGCTTTTATTTTCTTTTTAAAGACACTTAATAATCAACTTTAACAATAAAAAACTCTAAGATTACTTAGACTACTTGGTTACTATCCTTGGCATTGTGGAGTTGTGGATATCTCGGATTTAGGATTAGAAGCCTTGATACTTGGGGACCTTGTTGCTCTATTGTTATTTTGTCTGAAGTTTTTGGGGTTTATCCTAAGACATTGGATTTATTTTCTTTGTGTGCATGTTATTCTGATTATATGCTTTGTCTGTGATTGAGAATTCCTCTGTATACAGCTATTATTCTGCCCAATTTTTGTGAAGACTTAATTCATCTGAAGCTTGGTATTTCTTAGAGGTTTAGTATTTTTGCTTGCTTGGTTTCAATCCAAAGGATGGGATTAAACTCTTGTCGATTCTTGTAGTGATCCGAGCTACTATACTTCTATGATATATAGTAAAGTGATATATTCTCCACTTGGGTGTTGAGTGAGGCTTTGTTGATTTTAAAATCCAAGCTATATCCTCCACTTTGAGATGATGCAAATTCTCCTTTCTCATAATTGTGGGTAGTAAGTATGTTTCCCACTTGGATATGACGATGATGTCTCTTATCTTAAAATTAATCAACACACTTGTGTTTTAAATTTTTTGAGGTGAAATATGAGTACCATGATCCTCTATTGCACAGAAGGTGATACATAGGCACTAAAGGTTCACAACCGCGGAGAGTGCAAAAATTGTAAAAAAATATTTCTTTTCTCATCTACACCATCTATTTTTGTATATACTTTTTATAGCCAAAATACACAGATTTTCAAAGAGGTTCCTGCGGAGTACGGTAGATGTTTAGGGTGCTAATATCTTCCCTTTGCATAACCAACCCGCATACGTAGATATTCCCCCTCTTTTTGGGTTTATTCGCTATTTTCCCATTTCCTTTGGAAACAATAAAGCGTGGTTGTGATTTTTATTTGATTTGTACGAGGTAAGTCAATCCAACGGCTTAGTCTCAACATTTGTACCACTACAACCGTTGAGAACAAACAACTGGATTTCCGATTACCTTTCTACCATTTAAATGGATCTCTTTTACAAGCTATAAAAGAAAGACTCGAAAGCTGAAGAAAAGTAAGAATCAACATCACAAAAATCTATCGGATTAAATCAAGCTCAAGCAAAACTACACCAAAGCGCTCTGCAACTCTTTAGAGAAATATTTTGTGTATAGTATTGTAAATATGCAAGTAGTTGTTGCTCATATCTTGCTGTAAAACACTTGGGTGTTTTTCTTTGTATTAAATGTATGTGTAATCTTCTTAAAAGAAGAAAATTGTAATACACTAAAAGTATTCAACCGTTGTTCATTGATTCCTTGAGTGACTGAGTGAAGGTCTGATCTCAAGAAGACTCCTGTTGAAGCTTGAGTGGATTTTCAATAAGGATCGACTGACTTATTAGGGGTGCCAATAAGATTGATTTGACTTATTGTAGGTTATCTATAATCAGTTTGGTTATAGTGGATTAAGTCCTCGTTGAAGGCAAATCACCTTGAAGGGTGGACTGGAGTAGCTTAGTTAACAGCGAATAAAGATAAAAATAATTGTGTTCATTTATTTCTATGTTCTAGGTTAACTTGGACTTTCTTGTGTTTCTCACACCTTCAGTCTTCACCTAGGAAGATATCACAATAATGTCTGGAACATGTGTTCCACTAAACAATCTATAATGAAAAGATAAAGGAGATTCCCTTTTCTTACCACTATCCATAGCCAATAAAATACAAGGATGTAAGAGGTATGATTGAAGAATTTTATTGACCCACAACAATAGCAATAATTGCTATAAGTCCTCATAGATACATATCCCAAGTCTTCTTCTCAAGTTTTTAAACTGAACTGCATCTAGAGCTTTAGTAAAAATATCAGCAAGCTGATTTTCAGTGCTAACATGCTAAAGAGTTATGACTTTGTCTTCAACAAGCTCTCCAATAAAATGGTGCCAGATATCCATGTGCATAGTCCTACTATGCTGAATAGAATATTTGGAAATATTAATAGCACTTAAGTTATCACATAATAATGTCATGAAATCTTGTGTGACATTGTATTCATTTAACTTATATTTCTCCCATACAAGTTGAGAATAACTACTTCCTGTAGCAATGTACTCAGCTTCATTTGTAGATAAAGATACACAATTATGTTTCTTCCTGAACCATGAAATCAAATTGTTTCCCAAGAAGAAACGTCCACCAGAGATACTCTTCCTATCATCAGTACTACCAGCATAATCATCATCACAATATCCCACAAGCACTAAACTTGAGTTATGATAATACAACATTCCATACTCACATGTACCATTCACATACTTCAAAATTCTATTGACTTGATTGATGTGACTCACTTTGGGTGTTGCTTGATATCTAACACAAACTCCAACATCAAAAGTTATATCTAGTCTACTTGTTGTAAGATATAAAAGACTTCCAAACATGCTTCTATATAAACTTTGATCAACATTAACTCCCTTTTCATCTTTAGATAACTTCAAGTGTGTAGGAGCAGGAGTTCTCTTATGGTTGGCATTCTCCAATCCAAATTTCTTCACAATATTCTTTGCTTATTTTCTTTGACAAAGGAAAATCGAGTCTTCCACCCGCTTGACTTGTAATTCTAGAAAGAATTTTAATTCACACACCAAACTAATCTCAAACTTAGATTGAATCTATTTGACAAAATGTTGGACCATTTCATCTGACATCCCTCGAAAAACAATATCATCCACATAGATCTGAGCTATCATAAGTTTTCCATCTTTCTCTTTGACAATGAGAGTTTTGTCAATTCCTCACTTTCTATAACCATGGTTAATGAGAAACTCAGTCAACCTCTCATACCAAGCTCTTGGAGCCTGCTTTAAACCATACAATGCCTTCTTTAGTTTGAACACATGATCTGGGAAAGAGGGATCAACATATTCCTTTTGGATGTTCAACATATACTTCATCATTCAGATAACCATTTAAGAAGGCACTCTTGACATCCATTTGGAACAATTTGAACTTTAGGAGACATGCCACTTTAAGTAACAGTCTGATAGATACCAAACAAGCTATAACAGCAAATGTTTCATCAAAGTCCACTCCTTCAGTTTGAGTGCACCCTTGAGCAACAAGTCTGACCTTGATTCTGGTGACATTACCTTGTTCATCTAACTTGTTCTTATACACCCATTTAGTACCAATAACATTTACCCCTTTAGGTCTTGGTACCAAGTACCACACCTCATTTATTATGAATTGACCGAGTTCATCTTGCATAGCATGAATCCATAATTCATCAGTTAAGGGCTCTTGAATTTTTGAAACAAAGCAAGAATTTGATAGAACTTCCCTTGATCTTCTTTTGACTCTTTCAATCAGACTTCCTATAATAAGCTCCTTAGGATGATCTTTCTGAATCCTAATAAAAGGTCCTTTATCAGCTGCATCAATTTCTTCAGGTTCGATATTGACACTTGAATCTGCAACATCTTGAGGAACATAGTCATTCATGGGAAAAAATGCTCCAACATCATCTATGACATCAGCTTCTTTGGATGTGTCATCAATCATACATTTATGGACTCCATCTTCACCTTAGTTTTGGAATTGAATAATCTATAGGCTCTACTGTTTGTATAGTATCCTAGAAAAATTCCCTCATCACTTTTAGGATCCATCTTCCTCCTCCGCTCACGATATCTCAAAATATAGCACTTACTTTCAAAGACATAGAAATATTTCACTATTGGCTTTCTTCCTTTCCACAGTTCATAAAGAGTAACAGATGTACCAGATCTGATAGTCACTCTATTATGAATATAACAGGTAGTGTTCATGGCTTCAACCTAAAAATGATATGAAAGTTTCGTAGTAGGAAGCATGACCCTGGCACATTCTTGAATAGTTCTATTCTTGTGTTCCACCACACCATTCTGTTGAGGAGTGATAGGTGAAGAGAAATCATGACTAATTCCTTAAGAAGTGCATAATTTCTCAAACTTGCTATTTCCAAATTCTTTCCCATGGTCACTTCAAATTCTGACTATACTACAATCCTTCTCTCTTTGAATCTTTTGATGCAACTCTTTAAAGACTTCAAAAACTTCAGATTTCTCTTTGATGAAATTCACCCAGACAAACCTTGAGAAATCATCAACAACAACATAAGCATACCTCTTTCCTCCTAGACTTTCAACCTACATAGGTCCCATCAAGTTCATATGCAGCAACTCTAGTATTTTTTATGTGGTCAGGTGTTGGATCTTCTTATGTGACATCATTGTTTGCTTCCTAATTTGACATTTACCACAAATTTTTCCATCATCAATCTTCAGCTTGGGAATACCTCTAACAACTTCCTTAGACAACATTTTCTTCATACCTTTCAGATGCAAGTGACCAAGCTTTTGATGCCATAACTTAGATTCATCTTCTTGAGTTATTAAGCATGTGGAAAAATAGTTTATTTCTTGAGAACTCCACCGATAGCAATTGTCTTTTAATATGGCTCCTTTAATGACAACTTCATTCTTCTCATTTGTAACAAGACATTTAGATTCAGTAAAATTAACTTTGAGACCTTGGTCATATAGTTGACTAATACTGATCAAATTGGCAGTCAGCCCCTTAAGAAAAAACACTTCATCAAGACTAGACTGTCATGTATAGTCCAACTTTCCAACACCTTTTATTTCACCTTTTGGTCCATCTCTAAAAGTGACATAGCTAGTGGAGTGTGGTTTAATGTCCACCAGAAATTTTTTGACACATGTCATGTGTCTAGAACAACCACTATCAAAATATCAATCATCTCTAGCTGAAGCCCTGAGAGAGGTGTGAGCTATGAGTCCAGAAGTACCCTTTCTTGAGAACCACATCTTCTTAGCTTTAACAAATATATGTTCTCTTCTAGGTTGTGCTTCATATTTGGGATAGTCATATAACATGTAGCAGAAGGATTTATATGACCAAACCTTCCATAATAATAACATCTATCTCGTTGAGTCTTGTTTCCTGAGTGATTTTTCGGTTGTCCATGTTAATGTTAAAACATTTTATTTGACATCTTCTCTTCCAGTTCTTTCTTTGGACGAACAAACTTCACCTCATCTTCTTTGCCTTTGTTCTTCATAGCTTGATTGTCATAACCAATCCCTTTAACATTTCCAGCATTCTTTCCAGACCGAAGAATCTCATTAACCACATCAGTACTGTTTTTAAGTGTTACACCCCAAATTTTACCTCGAGTTTTCTCATTCGCATTTGTTTATATCCAAAAATCATAAAATTTAATTTTCATTTGCATCGTTATATTTTGTATGCATTTTACATCGTTTTATCTCAATTTCAATATTTATCTGATTTTTTCTTAGGTTTTTATTTTTGTTTCTTATTTTATAATTAAGAAAATGTAAAAAATTTGTGTATATTTTTATTTAGTTTTATTATTTAGTTTTGTATAGTTATTGAGAAATTGGTTATAAAAAAATTGTTTAATTTGTTATCACAAAATATCTTTCAAAGGGGCTGCTTGGTCTTCTTTTTTTTAAAGACCTAATTGGATAAGGTAATTCTTGTTATAACCAAATAAGGTTGCGCAAGAAAAAGTGGAGGAGAGATCAGATCCAAAAACGATTGAAAACCAAAAAAAATGGAAAGATTTCCTCTTCATCTTCGCAGACACTGCATAACTTCTACCTACTGAAACTCTTCTGCCTCAAACCGCCTTCCATCTCCTCAATACTCCCTTCAAACCTCCATCATCTGATTGCCATCACCATCCAACAATATCCTTGTTCTCACCCTCCAGCAAACAACACAAACCTCACATCTGCTACTCCAAACCAAAATACAACATTTTTTCGATACATCTCTTTTCGTCTGCCCCTATTCGCACAACCCAACGAATTCATCACCAACAATCAGTCCATTTCCACCAACCTTCTACCACTGGTACAACATCCACAACATCACTACTCCACCGTCTCCGCGCAGCAAATAATAGCAGAGTCATTGCCCAGCTTCTCCGTCAAACTCAGCACAACTGCTCTGAAAACAACAACAACACGACTGCACTCCTTCAGTCCCAACTTCAAAATGTTAATTTCAACTCCAATTTTGGTTAAATATTTGAGTTGAATTGATTTGCTGAGAAGTGTTGTGATAATTCTATTAAAACATAGTTTGATGTGTTTATGTGATCCCGTTTGATTAAATTATTAACGCAAGAAAATAATGTGGTGAGAAATAGTTGATATGTTGTGTTTTCGAGTTATAACCGTTTCAATTTGTGATGAGGTCTTGAAATGTTTTTGTCCGCGGTTAAATCATATAGAATTTGTTTAGATTTTCTGTTATGTTAAATTCCGTGTAAATGTGTTTCTGGGTTGTGTAGGAACTTCTTTTGATTTTTCGTGTGAGATTGCCTTTTGTTGGAGTATGTGGAAGTTTTTTATCATGTTACTTTGTTTCGAATTCTATTGAAATTGACATCACATTAGTATGTTTGTTTTGCTTTTCATAGAAGTGTGATGATCAATGTGTGTATTATGTTGTCTTTTCTATTGCGTTGTGGCTTTGAAGTTTAGATTCAATTTAGACTTTGAAAACTGCATGGGCGCATATATTTGAAGCTTTCGATTTGATTCATGTCGGATCCACGACATCATTTTAATTGGTTTTGATTTTGATTGTTTATTTTAAATGTTATGTTGCGTTGTTTGAACCGATTTGGAAGAGATTTTGGATGACGATTCGTTCCATTTGAGTTTGAATTTGAATGTAGAATGTGGATGTGATATCTTTGGTTTTCCGATTGTGTTTGAGCACTTTTCGGATGAAATTTGGAGCATTATTTCGTTCATATAGTTGTTGCCCAGAATGGTTTAGTTGTTGACTTTGAATTTAATGTTGCGCCATTTTGTTTGAATCGGTTGGAATGAGATTTGGATGACTTTTGTTGAACAATTTGTTTTGAATTCGAAAGTTAATTCGAGTGGCATTATTTTGTTGTTTCCTTTTGTGCTAAACATGTTTGGGATTGAATTTATCGAGCCTTGTTGCATATGCTTAGTTGCTGCCCGGATTTTGGTTTAGGGAATTATAGCTTATTTTGATTTCGATTTTTCATGTTGCAATGCGAATTCTCGCTTCTTGTTTCATTTGTGGTTTGAAAATCATGATTAATCTTGAGTTTACTTGATTGAATGTGTTTTGAACCATGTATGCCTTGCTGGTTTTTTTTGAGCTTGTCATTGATAATAGCATGAATTCTTGACTCTCGTTTCATTTGTGATTGGAAACAATGTTTATCGTTGTGTTCGCTTAACTTTGAATGTGCTTAGTACAATGTATGCAATGCTGATTTTTGTATTTACATTGAATAACACTTATTTTCTTGGTTCTCAATTGAAAGAATATTCATTTGTTCATGCAATTCGATTCAATTTTCATTTGGTTTATCATTTCTTTTGCGATTATTAACTTGTCTGTTGTTTGTAAAGACTTTCAAGATAGCTCATATATTCACTTCATCTTGACTCCATCTTGTTTCTTTTAGATAATTAACTTAAAGTCGATTTAGTTATTTAATTTCATTACTAAAAATTAATTAGTCTCAGCTAGTTAATTTTTCATAACTTAATTAATTAACTTAATCAAATTTTAAGTTAATTAATTAAGCATCCATTTCATATACTGAGTGGTATCCATGATTGGTTCAAATAGGTTTGATTACAACAAGGTCTTTAACTCCTTCAGCTCCTGTTCCATACAGATTCAGGTATGATCTCCACTATGAGTTCCATCAGGGAGTTGCGGGCCATGATTTGGAATGTTGTTATGCGCTGAAGGCTAGAGTGAAATAGTTGGTCAGAGGGCAAATGATAAAATTTGAAGCTTCTACTCCAAATGTTGTCAACAATCCTTTTCCATGACCAGTGAAGCTTCAGTCAGATCAAGATTATCCTCCTAAAGCTAGTGTTTTTGAGAGGACAGCTCATCCTTGTTGTTGATTAGTCACTAGGACATGTTTCTTTATGTTTGCATTTTTCTTTATTTATATTAAATTGTTTCTTTCAAACTTTGTTTTTACTTTCATGTTAATTTTAATTAAATGAGCATTTGCAATGCTTTGATTCAAATCAATATCATTTACATGCTTTCAAATATATTTCTCCTATTTACTTTCTCAATCAAGCTTTTGTTTACGCAAAGATCAGAGAGAGGATGATGAAAATGAAATACTCATAACTGTTATTGGTATGCTTTCAAATAAACCATTGCTAATGATGTAAGGAATTGTTTTAATTCCCAAGCACTGGAGAAATAAGGAAGTTAATCCTTTGTCAACCTCTTTGAGCCTAGAAGTGTTTCTCAATACATTTTCTTTCCAGGAAGAGTTGGCAATGTTCCATGTGTTGAGGAATCAGAATTCCAATCTTATCTCCACAAAAGAGTCAATCTCCATTGTCGTAAACATCGGCATTACATGCATATTCGCATATCATGCATAGAAAGAGTCATATATCATGCATAGCTTGAAGATTTTTTCATGCTCGGTTGCATTTGTTGAGGTCTTGTTGCTATCAACATCCTACCTTGTGGTCAAAGTCCAACTTACTTAGAACCTACCAAAGCAGATGTTCGTTCGTCTGTTCCTCTCTTATGTCCAATACTAGTCTTGGATGAGTTGTTTCCTTTTCCATCCAATGCTAATCTTGGATATGTTGTCTCTCTTTTTCCGTCCAAATCTAATACCTGGAGTTTTGTTTCTATTCCAATGCTAATATTGGGTGTGTTGTTATTGTCCTTTTTTATCCAATGCTAATAATTGATGTGTTGCTTCTCACTTTCAACCAATGTTAATCTTGGATATCACGTTTCTCTCTGCCATCCGAAGCCAATATTGGATATCATGATCTTTCTCCCTTCATCCAAAGCAAATCATTGGATGTTGTGGTTCTTTTCCGTCCAACGTCATTCCTGGATGACTTTGATGTATCTTCAGATTTGGTCTCATTCCGCATCTAATGTTGCTTCTAGATATTTCTGATGTATTTTCCGGAGAGTCTCTCCCTTCTTCCAAAGAAAATCATTGGATGTCATGGTTATTTTATGTTCATTGTCGTTCCTGGATGACTCTGATGTATCTTCAGATTTGTTCTCATTCCGCATCTAATGTTTCTTTTAAATGTTTTTAATGTATTTTCCAGAGAGTATCTCCCTTCATCCAAAGAAAATCATTGGATGTTGTGGTCTTTTCTTTCGTCCAAACCCAATTATTTGATGTCATAGTTATCTATTTCCCTTCATTCAAAGCCAATGATTGAATGTTTCATTTTCTCTTCATCCAAACCTAATCATTGGATGTTGTGGTCGTCTGTTATCTGAAGCCAGTGATCGAATGTCTTGAACTTGTTTTCCTTCATCTAAAGCCAATGATTAGGTGTTACGGTCGTTCTTTTGTCCAAAGTCATTGTTTGGATGTCATAAATTTTCTTCCTTTCATCCAAAGCAAATCATTGGATGTTGTGGTCTTTTTTTATTATTTTGTTGCTATCCAAAGCCAATAATTGAACGTCTTACCCCTAGTATATTGTTTTCACCCTTCAATGCCAATATTAGATGTCATTAATATCTTGTATTCCCCATCATATATTTCCACATCATATCATTCAACTACCACAAATTTTCAGTTTCGAGTCATTTAAATAATTCCCACAGAGTCTATCTCGTATCATACATCATTGAAATATATATATATATATATATATATATATATATATATATATATATATATATATATATATATATATATCAAAGAATTTTATGCATTCATTGTATTCTCGCCATATTTCATTCACCCCATACCCATTGCATCTCAGGGCAAAATTTCGGTTTCTCTGATATTTAATTATCTCCCACTACGATCATATGAAGCATGATCATCTTCATATCATCTAGTTGAAGATATTTAAATAGGGGCAGTTGTTGCACCATAAATTATACCCCGAGTTTTCTCATTGGCATTTGTTTATATCCAAAAATAATAAAATTTAATTTTCATTAGCATTGTTATATTTTGCGTGCATTTTGCATCATTTTATCTTAATTTTAATATTTATTCGATTTTTTCTTAGATTTTTATTTTCGCTCCTTATTTTATAATTAAAAAAATATTAAAAAAATTGTGTATATTTTTATCTAGTTTTATTATTTAGTTTAGTATAGTTATTGAGAAATTAGTTATTAAAAAATTGTTTAATTTATTATCACAAAATATCTTGCAAATGGGTTGTTTGGTCTTTTTTTAATTCTTGTTATAACAAGAGGAGGCTGCATAAGAAAAAAAGGAGGAGAGATTAGATCCAAAAATGATTGGAAAAAAAAAACAGAATGATTTCCTCTTCATCTTCGCAGACACCACTTAACTCTTACCTTTCGAAACTCTTCCGCATCAAACTGCCTTCTATCTCCTCAATACTTCCTTAAAACCTCCATCATTCGATTACCATCACAATCCAACAATATCCATGTTTTCACCCTCCAACGTACAACACAAACCTCACATCTTTTACTCCCAACCAAAATACAACATTTTGTTGATACATCTTTTTCCGTCTTCCCGTGTTCGCACAACCCAATGAATTCATCACCAACAATCAATCCATTTCCACCGACCTTCTACCACTAGTACAACATCTAGAACATCACTACTCCACCATCTCCGTGCAGTAAACCATAGCACAGTCACTTCCCAGCTTCTCCGTCAAACTCAGCACACCTGCTCCGAAAACAACAACAACACTACTGCACTCCTTTAGTCCCAACTTCAAAACGGTAATTTCAACTCCATTTCGGTTACGTTATTTGAGTTGAATTGATTTGCTGAGAAGTGTTGTGATAATCCAGTTAAAAAACATTTCTATGTGTTGGTGTGATTCTGTTTGATTAAATTGTCGTTGTAGGAAAATAATATGGTGAGAAATGGTTGATATGTTGTGTTTTTGAGTTATAACCGTTTGAATATGTGACGAGGTCTTGAAATGTTATTGTCCGTGGTTAAATCATATCGAATTTGTTTGGATTTTGTGTTACGTTAAATTCTGTGTAAATGTGTTTCTTGGTTGTGTCAGAACTTCTTTGGATTTGTCGTGTGAGATTACCTTTCGTCGGTGTATATGGAAGTTTGTTATCATGTTACTTTGTTTCGAATTCGATTGAAATCGGCACCGTGTTAGTATGTTTGTTTTGCTTTTGATTGAAGTGTGATGATCGATGTGCGTATTATATTGCCTTTTCTATTGCGTTACGACTTTGAAGTTTAGATTCAATTTGGATTTTGAAAACCGCATGGGAGCATATATTTAAAGATTTCGATTCACGTCGGCTCCATGGCATCATTTTAATTGGTTATAATCTTGATTATTTTTTTAAATGTTATGTTGCGTTGTTTGAATTGATTTGAAAGAGATTTTGGACGATGTTTCGTTCCATTTGAGTTTAAATTTGAATGTGGAATATGGATGTGATATTGTTGTACCCTAAAATTTGCCCTCTCTTTTCTCAAGACATTTCTCACTAGATCTCCCATGGCTAAAGTTTGCACAAGTGTTGACTAGGTCAAACCACCTCCTAAACACTGATGCCTCTAATTAGGATTTTGATTTTCACAAGGACAATTGGACTTATAATGTCTCAAATGACCCTCGTGGATCATTATAGACCTCCAAAAATACTCATGTCAAGTTTCAAGTCTTGAATCACAATTTTTGCTCAGTCAATTGACCAAATGACTGAAAATCAACTACATTAGGTAAAAAGTCAATTGTGGTCAACCTATAGTCAAACTTCATAATTTTTGGCAAATATCAACATTTTAAAGTCCTATTCATCATTTGATCAAGTATTGATCATAACCCCTCAAGAAAAAGCACTCAATTTACCAAAAGGGCAAAATAGTCAAAATTAGGGTTTTGACTGATCAGTGACTTTTGACCTAATACATGATTTAATGGCTTGAAGCATAATCTCAAGAATTCAAATACAACATATTGACATAATTTCATGGTTAAAAACATTCTTCAAGATCAATGGATTGATAGTTGAAATTTGATCAACTAGTGCACAAAAAGTCAAACTTTGAACTTGTATATTCCATTTCCATCGCGCGTTTTCCCTCAAAATTGCATAAAAACTCCATTTTTACCACAGTTCTGACCTTGAACTTGTATATTCCATTTCCATCGTGCGTTTTCCCTCAAAATCATTTTCAAAGCTTCCTCATATCAAATACAACTCATCCTTATCCTTGTTACATAACTGTAACACCATTTTCCTCGTCTTCCATTTTCAAAAACAGAGGACTGGAGCTTGGCTTCTCCAAAACATTCCAGGCACTCTCAGCTCAAACTAAGCATCGCATTATCTTCCTAGAGGTTCAAGGAAGCTAACCAGATCATTACAACACCTTGAAATCTTCTCAAACTCAAAACACGATATACACTTGCAAGGTGAGTTTTCTGAATTTTAAACTCTTCATATAGGCATCATTTAGTTTCCATTTGTGAAGATAAAATGTAGACATCATAGCCCTAAAACTAACCATGTCCTTAGAATTCATTTATGTTGCCTGAGTAATGAGAATTTTGAACTTGAACTTCCGAAAAAATTAAGTCAGAATTTGGTACTATTTAAAATCCGTGCTTATTTTTGATCCATTGCTTAAGTTATTTACATATTTAAAATCGTGGTGAAATTTCTAACAAGTTTGATGTTCATAATTTCTGAAATGGTTGAGAGATGAGAAATTTACAGAGCTCTGTTTATGACGCGAGGAAGAAGACGAAGTTGTCACTAGAACTTG